GTGCCTTAGTCCTGGAATGCAATAAAAACAACTTGTACTAATTATAATGTGGGAGATATTCATCAATTATTTTTATTTCAAAATGACAATTACATGAAATAAATTAAATCATACAACCGCTCATTGCATTCTCATTCAGTTTGACTAAATACATGTATAATTTGAGCAAGATTTATTACAAAACTTTTTTCTTTTTTTCAGGTTCCAGGTTATCCAGAGTGGTCAAACGTTAAGTTTGACCTCGATCCTGCAATTTACACTTATAAACTTTCAGAAGATTATAGTGCTGGTGATTTAGAAATATTGATGTAATTTACATCAATATTTCTAAATCACCGGTAATGTACTGTATTGTATTAAATGTACTGAAATAAATAATTTTGAGAAAGTTTGTGACTATCTTTTGTCCAGGGATTGAGTTTTAGGCCATGTATGTCAGTCGACGCTTCCTTTTTTATCAGGTGACAGAATGAAAATCGTGCTAGTCATGAATTCAAATGTCCATAACTTCCTTATTTTTTAACCTAGACAAAAGAAACATACATCATTGAATTTGTCTTTAAAAACCCTTTCTTTTGATATGCAACAATGTAGGATTTTAAAAAAAAATGTAAAATCCTTTGTCCTCGTTAGCACAAGTCGATACCCAAACCAAAAAATCATTCAACTGTAACGAGCGCATTGGGGTATATATCGTTACAATGAGACAAGGTATCGGAAAGAAATATGGCGGAATACGACTAAAGTTGTATGAAACAAGTCGTACATAGATGAAAATGTTGCGTTTTTAAGAATTCATGTCAGCTTTAAGATGCTCTTGTTTAAAATTACATTAAAAAGTTAATAATTCATTTATAAACTATCGATAATTATGTAGACAAGTTTGAGCTGGCAAATACGTTAAAATGAATAATATACATTGTAGATATTTCAAAATAGACATTAGAAAATGTTTTTTTATTATGTATAACCTATTGTATATCTTTGATTAGTGGATAAAGTGATGTATGCCACAGTTAACAAGGACATATCGAAGAAGAAAGGTAAAAATTAGATAGATGTATATTGGGATCGGACATGCACTTTATAGATTTAAAAGCAAATAGATAAGAATAGTGAAGATATTTTTATTCAAATAAGATGCAAGACAATACAAAAACAACATAACAGCTGGTAATTCAAATGAACAAAATGGGAACGAGGGTAAATCATTTTTTGCTTTTAAATTAAAATTGCATTCTTTATACCTCGCACAATACTAAATAAATACTTATTTCAATGTCTTGTTAAAATAAAGTTATTTTGTATACTAACGTTTCTTTTACTGCTTTATTTGAATGCAAACATCTTTATTTATCTTTTACAAAATGATGAAAGTAAACAAACCTTGAATTCATTTGCATACTAAAGCTAGCTAACATTGGATTAAAAAATACCTTAATTATAAAGGAATTGTAAGTGTTCTTTGGTACTAAATATGCATATAGAAAAACAAGATTTACAAAATTTCCACATTAAAGCCTGCCAAGTATTATTTATAAAATCAAAATATATTTTTACTTGTTTGTATGATATTTATTCTAAATACTTGGTTGGCTTCTCACTTATCACAACCAGGCCAACATTCGGACTCGTGGGGCAGTGACGTCGCAGGCTCGAATCCCATTGTGGCACGTGGATACCGGGCCTTTGGATGAGACCGTATACACCGAGGTCCCGTCTAGCAGTAGGTGCTGGCCATAAAAATATCTACGAAAGCCCAGAAGGCTCATTCGAGATTCAAGTTTCGAAATACGAGATTCGAAATTCGAGTTTCGAAATTCAAGATCCAAACTAACCAATCAAAAGCGGGTTCAACATTTGATTACTCCCCTTTGTTATGTTTTTACTATCAAGAAATCGTGGAATATATTTATTATAAATGGGTCATTTGCTAAAATGATAAAATGCAAAAAAAAATGTTTTATGTATTAAAACGAAATAAAAATATTTGGATTACATTTTGAAAAATACATATATAATTTTATGTTTCTCATTAAACAAAATAATAAATACGTATATATGGAATATTATATGGTCTTATCGTTGACTTGCAGAACAAGTAGGTCGACTATTTTTTTTTTAAATAAGATCATTGCTGAGGGATAATATTGTATTTGATTATACATGTGTAATTAGATATGAAATACTAGTATTATGAATCGTCTCTACACTGCACAGTAATTCAAGGGTATATATATTTCATTAAAAATAAATGCCGCATTTTTTTTTAATTCATATTACCAATCTGTATTGTATATATAATTTTTTATTAATTCAAGAAATCAAAGCCTTAGATGAATTAAGATAAGTAATTAAATAATTATTTTTTATATACATGTATTTCCTCTATCAGGAAAATGAACGCGATTTTTTGTTTTTCAATACTACATGTACGTCGCCTTTCAAGTTTTACAAAGTAACATTTTCAGTGCGTTTGGAAAAATAGGTAGGTGGGGTGGGTAGGGGTGGGGTTATTGTTAATATTTAGACACTTGACACTTACAGTCGCACCTGCTGTTACGGCCACCCTTAATCAGCGGCCACTCGTCATGAGCGGCCAGTTTCAATCCCGCCCGTTCATTTTTTCACTATATTTTAACTCATTTAAGCGGCCACCTGTCTAACGTGGCCAGTGGCCAGTGTTTTTAGGTCCCGTGCGCTCAACATGCCTGTTTTAAGCGGCCATTTTGTCTGTTTAGTCACATGACTTCCGTCTGGCCACATGACCTCGTATCCTCGAGAAACCAAACATGAACAGCTGATAATGAGTAATTACCGATAATTGCGGGTGTAATTTGAATTCATTCAAGATTTAATGATTTAATTAATAGGATTAAATAATTTACTTTTTACAAATGTTTTTTTTTTCTTTTTTGTTCTTTATATACGAAAGTAAGTTGTTACACAGCTGTTGAATACGTTTATCAATACATTAAAATATACTACAATTTCGCCCGAGGTTATCAAGCCAAGTGGCCAGTCTCGGGTTATAGCCCTACTATGCTATATAATATATATTAAGAAAAACTAAAAAGCTTTACACAGCATCAGGAAATTTTGTTGAGACATTTCATGATTTCGTGTGATGTAAATTCTATTGCTGTGAAACTTTTAAAATTACCATCACAAAACAACAATAAAAAACAATTTTATTAGATTTCTTTCCTAAATTCATGTAAAATGAACTGTAACAAAAGGGATCTCTTGTGACTTTAAGCTTCCTAATTTTTTATGTGTTGAAATTGTGGATTTGGATACGTTTGAAAGTAAATATACAATTGTGATCGCAATTTTTTATTCCTTGGTTTGAAACCTGGAATAAGTGGCCACCTGTCTTATGTGGCCAATTTGTCATTCTCCCACAAGTGGCCTCTTAAAACAGGTTTGACTGTATTTATAACTTTATATGTCAACAACCCCGTAAACAAAGTAGACAATACAAAAGTATATATACTCCTGATATATGTATTCTATTTAATATTCAAGAAGCCATAATATAAATTGAAGTATATCTTGCTGATCAAAATTCCAATGATTATTTAAATTTCCTTCTAATATATATATATAACACTCTTTCTTGCATTGTAATTTAATCAAATGGCTCATTTGTTATAAATATATTAAACGATTTCTTGATAGTAAAATCATAATAAAGGGGAGTAATCAAATGTTGAACCCGCTTTTGATTGGTTAATCTGGATCTTGAATTTCGAAACTCGTATTTCGAATCTCGTATTTTGAATCTCGAATCTCGAATAAGCCTTCTGGGCTTTCGTAAAGATCCCTCACTGCGATCAACTGAGTATAAATACAACACTGTAAAGGATCCATAGAATTATAGAACAAAATTCGCTGATAGATTAAGCTATGTTGCCCAAGAATTTCAAAAAATCTAATAAAATACCACAGTATTGTCTTTGTACTGTGCGAGAGCCGAGTGATCTCCTTAGGATCATACAGGGTGTCCAAAAATATGATATCATGCAAAACACCCGCCACAAACACATTCCTTGAAGTATTTGTTTGATATATGCCTCAAAGAAATATTTGAATAAGTACAATTCAGCAGCAAATATGCAAAAAAAAAGTGCTCTCACCTATTGAATTGCATAGAAAAATTTAAATTAAATCAAACTTTTCAAAAGAAAAAAGAAACTTCAATAAAAGCGGATTACCAAAAGATCTAGCTACCCTCTATTTAATTAAAGATGAAATTATCAATTCTAAGTCTTTCGTTACTGTAGCTAAACGAGTTTAGGAATTCTGTGCAATGTGTAAACATAATCGCTACCCTATTGGTACGGAAGCGTATTAGTGCCACGCAATATTTTTTTAAGTTGGTAATTCAAACTTTAAAGTTGGAAATTCCAACTTTAATCTTGATAATTCCAACTTTAAAGTTGATAATTACATCTTTAAAGTTGATAATTCCAACTTTAATCTTGGCTTTTCCAACTTTAAAGTTGGAAAATCCAACTTTAATCTTGGCTTTTCCAACTTTAAAGTTGGTAATTCCAACGTAAAAGTTGGAAATTCCAACTTTCATTAGAGATCTTCTAGTCCCATTTCTTAGTTTTTTTCCTCTGTAATTTAAATCAATACCAACTTTATTAATATAAATGTAATACACTGAAATGAGCTGGTTAGCTTTGAATCTTCGCAACCAAGATGAGAGGGGGGCGGCGGCGGAGAGGAGAAACTTTAAGAAGGGCGAACGGGGCCACAGAGAGTTACAGTTTAAAACTTTAATAATGCTTAATGTTGATAAGTGCATTGAAATAAATTGAAGAGCACTTTTTATCTGTGTCAGTTTATTTTTACCCTGACCTTCCCTATAACCTTTGATATAACTTCCAACTTTTGATTATAAATAGCAATATTTTTTAGTCCTCTTATATAATTATAAAGAGGCTATTAACCAATCCCTTAGATGAAAGGATTTCAACCTAACATACGTATCTATGAGATCGGACATTTATTTTTTGTACTAAGGAATAAGCTTTAAAAATTAGACCGTTATTAGGTATTTTTATTTTATATTTAGGATTAATCAAACACTATATTACATACTTCAAATACAACAGTATTAAGTGTACTGATTTTGTCTAATTATAGAAGACAATATTTCAGTTTGGGCCGCCATCAACAATAATTTCCAATACTATACATCGGCAAATTTTTGTATTATTTTGTGTAAGGGTGGTGGGGGGCACGCCCCCAAGCATCCCCTCCAGTTCCTACGACCATGCACAATAAAATGATTCCTTAGATGAAAGGATTTCAACCTAACATACGTATCTATGAGATCGGACATTTATTTTTTGTACTAAAGAATAAGCTTTAAAAATTAGACCGTTATAGGTATTTCTATTTTATATTTAGGATTAATCAAACATTATATAACATACTTCAAATACATCAGTATTAAGTGTATTAATTTTGTATAATTATAGAAGACAATATTTCAATTTGGGGCGCCATCAACAAACAATTTCCAATACTATATATTGGCAAATTTTTGTATTATTGTGTATAAGGGTGTGTGGGGAGTGAGCACGCCCCCAAGCATCCCCTCCAGTTCCTACGACCATGCACAATAAAATGTTTCCTTTTTCCATAATCATTTCATAATAGTATTGTAACTACATATATAAAACGGTAAAACGAGTTAACCAACAAAGTATCTCAGACAATATACCAGTAATACATAAAGCCGTACAAAGTTGGAAAAGCCAAGATTAAAGTTGGAATTACCAATTTTAAAGTTGGAAAAGCCAAGATTAAAGTTGGAATTACCTACATTTAAATTGGAATTACCAAATTAAAGTTGAAAAAGCCAAGATTAAAGTTGGAAGTTGGCATTTCCAACTTTAAAGTTTGAATTACCATCTTTAAAATTGGAATAACCAATATTAAAGTTGGAATTTCCAACTTTAAAGTTTAAATTACCAACTTTAAAGATGGTAATTCAAACTTTGGAATTAAGTTAAAGTGGAATTACCAAGATTAAAGTTGGAATTACCAACTTTTAAGTTGGAATTACCAATTTTAAAGTTGGAAAAGTCAGGATTAAAGTTGGAATTACCAACTTTAAATTGGAATTACCGACAGTAAAGTTGGAAAAGCCAAAATTAAACTTGGAATTACCCAGATTAAAGTTGGAATTACTAACTTTAAAGTTGAAATTTCCAAGATTAAAGTTGGAATTTCCAACTTTAAAGTTGGAATTACTTACCAACTTAAAAAAAATATTGCGTGGCAATAATACGCTTCCGTATATTGGGATGTCATTTTGAAAAGAAATACATGTAGAGAACAAACAGTATTAAAGCTAAAAAGTCTATTTATCAATACAAAATTGGAGGAGAGTAAACACGGACCCCCCCCCCCCCCCCCCAAAAAAAAAATCAGAGGAAAATGTGATCTTCTTTTTTGTTACTTTTTTAATTCCTCGTATTGTGTAATGAAAATTTGGCAGAAAGTGCAATGTCTGTTATGTATTCCTAGAAATTCAATATTTAAGGGGTCCTGTATGGCAAGCCCTTTTACTATTTATTCGTGAAATAAAAATTTTCAATCAATAAGAGAGACATTTCTTTAGCATATAGAGATTTTTTTTTACTTTGCGAGATATCTCTTTAAGCTAGAGATATATCTGTTTAAGCAAGATAGATATCTCTTTTAGCGAGAGAGATATTTCTTTTAGCGAGAAAGATATCTCTTCAACAAGGTTAAAAGAGGTAATCTTATCTTAGTTACAGAGATATCTCGAGGTATACTTTTCTTAGTTACAGAGATATCTCTTTAGATTTTCAAAAAGAAATATCTTTCTAAGCAAAAGAGATATCTCTTTTAATGAAAGAGATATCTTTTATCCAGTGATCCTTAAAATGAAATAATTAATTCTTCCCTTTCAAACGAAAGCGAAACAGGAAGTAAAATCATTGGAATAATTTCGCTGTTGTAAGAAAAAAAGATTGTGTATGCAGTATATCCAGAATAATATACATGAATGTACTACGCAGACAAAAATGCTATAAATCCATTGTTTGAAACAACAAATAATAATAACAACTTTGTTGATAATAATGCTAAAAGTTTAATATCCAGGAAAAAGAAAGTAAGCATAAAATCTTAAATGCAATGGACCTAATTTTTTCAGCTTATGAAATAATTAACTATTACTAATTTGAAATCTCGACAACACTGAATTGCTTGTCATGTTTAGTAAAGCTTTCATGTAGAATATCATGAATATGTCAAATTTTCAAAATACTATAATGTATTTCCCTGAATAAAAAGCTTACTTCCGGTAAAGGGAGGTCATTAAAAACGCAATTTAAATAAAATAATGAAGAGGGATATCTCCTTGCAAAAAGTTTGAATAGACCATGATATGTGATAAGAGATAGTACCAAAAAGACAAGATAAACTCCTATACTGGGGTCATTCAAAAAGTTCATTGACTTTAGTCATAACTTTTTTATTGAATGTCATATTATAACCAATTTTGATACTCATATTAATACTCATATTTGATAAATTAAAAAAAAATTAAATATTATGACGCAGAATAGATTTATCACACATGATTTTATTGTCACACGCTGGAAACAATCAAGTAATATTCATGAGTGATAAACGTAATGGTAAATGTAGCATTTGTTTTGAAAAGTAAGACCTTTGAAATAAATCAATCTTGGTTTTATATACAAGTTTGTTTTTTTTTAAATAATGGAGCATTTTCATTTATATACGTTGTACGTGAATCTTCTAAAGTAATATTAAACATTTACATATACATGTATATAAAGTGTCTTAGAAGGTGCTTGGTGTTAAAATTACAAATAATTTAAATGCTTCTTAAAATTTTTACACTCCTTACTGATTGAATCTTTTACAGAGGAAATGAAACTGAAAATAAGAAAGCTTAACATTCTCGTAAAGTACCTGGTTCACATCTTAAAGAAGGAGATAGATGCAAAGGATTTAAAGGAAAAATCCATCATTCATTCTAAATCCCTCGGAGAACATTTCACAGAACCAGTTCTACAGGATCTTTACGGAGTTGAGACAACCGATGATTACAGTAGGCTGGACATGTCCTTGGTATTTGTTTTGTTAAGAAACTTTTGTGTAAATATCAAACCACCAACGAGAGGCTGGGACTATGAACCTCCAGAGGACGAAGAAACAGTTGGTGCTGATATTGAGAGGATACGTTTTATGTGGAATAGATACTGTGATAATAACTATGAATTTAAGTATTTAGATGGTGTGTTTGACAGGATGAAGAATAAATACGGAACTTTAGCTGTTCAGAATGATCTACTAGAAGGTTTTTTGGGGGTAGAAGAAAAAATACAGAGTGAGTAATAAAGAAAACTTTAAATTAAAATTTTTGGCCAAAAAATTTCGAATATTTTTGTCGCTCAATCTTTGTAGACGATACATTTTGAATTGCCTGCGTTGGTGAGAAAAATGCAGATTACTTGTAGTGTGATTGTGTATATTTTTGCCTAGGTATTAAGCTGAATCCAGACTGCTGTGTTGAGAAAGGCGTCGTGGTGACTGGAGGGATAAAGGCAGCATTTCAGCTTCTGGAAATGGGGAATGTCGTAATCTGTAAAGGAGCTATTGGATGTGGTAAAACGCATGCTCTAAAAGCAATCGAGAACAAATATATAGAGAAAGGATGGAAAGTAAGATGGATGGAGGAAAACTTACTTCCTCTAGAGAAAAATATGGAAGATAAAACGATTCTGATTTGTGACAATCTTTTTGGAAGTTTTGGTTGTAATATATTTTCCCCAAGTAGAATATCAAGTTTTGAAAATTTACTGGAGAGTGTGCGTGAAAAATCAAGGCATACTAAAGTTGCTGTTGGAATCCACCAACATGTATTTGATGAAATCATCAGAATTCATCATCTAAAACTCCTTCAAAATAAAAACATAACAGTTGATTTAGACAAACTAACAAAGTCAGAAATGCTGCTTATTTTGAAAGAGCAACAAAAAGAGGGTCACTGTAAAACAGATCCAAATTGTTGGTTTAAGTATGTTGACCTCACACTTGTGATTGATAAACTCAGAGAAAACCCGGGGCATATTGGAAGCCCGTTTCTCAGTTTGATGTACTGCCATCATCATGATTTGTTTTCTGATGAAGCGTTCACCAGAGCCCCTCTTCAGTCATTAACACAACGTTTTCAGAAAATGGGAAATGGTTCAGTTGACTATTCCAGTCTTCTGTACTTGATGTGTGTTATAGAGCACAAACATGGGGATGTGTTACCCAACTGGGTAGGTACACTTGATGCATTTTTAACCAAAGAGGCTCTTCATAATGTTGCTAAACTGTCTGGATTTGTCAGAGTTGTCAACGGGCTTGAAACACTTCGTCATGAAGTCTTGACAATAGCATTATTCAAAGCTGCTGCTTCTGTAGAAGAAGTTTTCTTACCAGTTGTTCAGCATTGTGAAATAGGAATTTTACTTCAACTGACAAGACCTGCTGAAAGTACATGTAGCTATGCCAACAGTGAATTTGATTACAGATTTGCTTATCCACAGAAAACCAAACATTCCATTAGAATCATTGGCAAATACTTAGTAAAAAGATTTGCAGATGACTTCAACAGAGACTGGAACAGTATGAATCACCCTCTAAAATCGCATCGTTTATTCAAAGAGAAATTTCAGTATTACGTTGAATGTAAATCGAATGTTCCAAAAGAAAAATAACAAAACTTGTAAATTAAGTCTCATTGGTTTTGATTAATGTTAGATAAGATCAGGATTGATTTAGTGATCAATATTCAGTTGGGGTGTATTTAGTGATCGGGATGTCCGTCCGTCCGTCTGTTATGCTTTGGGGTACCCATCTCTTATTCGCGTGTCATGTTATAAAACTGAATGATATTTAATTAGACTTTCACAAATTCTTTGTTACATGGTGCCGTTGTGTACCTTCTATTTTACTTTTTGATCAAAAACATATTTTGGGTTTCCCATAGCAAAACATTGATTCTACCTTTTTTCTATAATATTGAACGGTACGGATCTCTTATCCACATCTCCTCCTACACCACTGAATAAAATTTGATAATACACATGTATTTTCATATATTCTCTGAATCTCTGATGTTCTTGAGAAGAAGATTTTTAAAAGACTTTTCCTATATACTTCAATTTTGAATTTGGATTCTCCATTGCGGCCCCCAGCCCCCGGGGGTCATGGTTTTAACAATTTAGAGTCTATACTACCCCAAGATGCTTCAACATAAGTTTCAGTTTTTTGGCCCAGTGGTCTTTGGGAGGGAGATTTTAAAAGATTTTTTCTCATATATTTCAATGTAAAACTTGGATTCTCTATTGCGGCCCCGTCCTACCCCCGGGGATCATGGTTTGAAAAATTTAGAATCTACTCTACCCCAGGATGCTTCCACATAAGTTTCAGTTCTTCTGACCCAGTGGTTCTTCATCATGCAGAAGATTTTTTTACTGAATCCACCCTATTTTTGCTTTTTCTTGATTATCTCCCCATATGAGGAGACTTGGACCTTTATTTTAATAATTTAAACTCCCCTTTACCCAAGGATGCTTTATACCAGGTTTGGTTAAAATTGGCCAAATGGTTCTTGAGAAGTTGAACATGTAAAAAGTTTACAGACAGACGGACGGCTAGACGGACGAACAACATATGATCAGAAAAGCTCACTTGAGTCTTCGGCTCAGGTGATCTAACAAAAGGGTCAGTGATTTTGAAATAACTATCGCGGTATGTAATTACTGTATTCTCCATATGTACAATGTGGAATATTTTTTATATACTCTGACTGTGTTTGAGCTCTTATTCGTCTGAGGACGTACACTATATAGCTTGAGGAAGTACCTTTTTTCAATTTTGAGATGAGGATTTCATTATCAACTCCTTTTTCTTGCATTTATTTAATATTCAAATGTCGTTTCAATTTATATACATGTACATTCGATCGTCGGTCCATTCGACTATTCGTTGACATCCCTAGAAACAACACTTGGCGACTAAGTTACATGAAGTTATATGGCATGACAATCTGAGAAAAGGCCTCGCCTCATACATCAAAACTGAACTTTAAAAAATCCAATGCATTATTTCGTACAGAAAAAAAATATGCAAGTACATGCAGAAATTGACAGAAAGGAATAATTATATAAAGTTTAGCAAAAGGTCCACAAGTAGGCTTGATTGCTCTACAGTAAGAATAGTTTACCAATTGTGAGCAAATGTACAATATAATATACTTAATATGACTTAATATGACGAACTACTACATTTATATATTCAAAAGTAGTTAAAAGATGGTGACACACAGTAATAATAATCATATACGAAAAAAATACAGTTCAAATGTACATATACCTACAGGCAATTATTCAGTTCATACAGTGACTGTGGGATGAAATTTGGAGACTGCTTTTTTATGATTATATAAATTTATATACAATGTACATCCTTACAGAATCATTGATGGGTCCTGAGTTCCAAAATAATGAGAGCTAGTACTTGGACCCCTGACAATGTGAGAATTCTACTTCGTGTATGTGCATATATAGTTGGAAAATTTTGTGTTTTAAAAGTTTGTGACTAAGTAAAGCTGTATAGGAATGCTTTGTTTTGATTTTATCAGCTTTGTTTTGTTTTGATATTTTGGATTATTTGAAACTTATACATATAGTCGTTTAATCTGATTTTCATTCCACAGCCTTAGTTCTAAGAATTGAGCACTAAAAACGCAGTATTTACTCAAATATTCCTTTGTGACTTTGTTAATTTTCCTTACATGTATTACAATAAACAAGTCCTTGCAAGCATTCCAATTTACTATAAATGAATTTATTTTCTGCAACAACACTACCGGTAGTTGTACATAATTTGAAAGTTATTTATAATATGAATGATTATAACTTAAGATTAAAGTTTACATCCTCTAGCATTAGTCAAAGAGGTTTGTTTTGCATTTTAGCTGGTATACAGCGGGAGGATAATTTCCTTTTTCTTCAATTTCAATGCTTTTAAAAGTTAACTTTCACTCTCTGGTTTCCCTGGTATAACTTTTTCTACATCACTTTCCCCTGTCATGTCCTCAGAATCTACATATTGTTCCTGGTCCCCGTGGGAGGCCCCAAGGTCATCTTCATAGTACTCATCCTCAATATCCACCTCATCAGTACTCCTCACTACAACTGGATCTTCATCATCACTGATTGTCTCCTCAGTTTTATCTGTGGATTGTGTTACTGCCAAATAAAAATAGAAATCAGGAAGACTATGAAAATGTAAACCAAGGGCCCATCTTACAAAAGAACTTAAAGACGTACAACACACTGGGGGAGATAACTCTTGCAATTTCAATTGAACGTTTGACGTGACGTCAAATTTAACGTTAAAAATAAAGCGTCAACATGACGAGTACAACGATCCCGATGTATATCAATCATAAAAGAAAAATGGGATAGGGCCTATGGGGCTTTGCTGTGATGATGAGTACCATCCTAAATCCATAAGTATTTATTTTTAATTAATTCGATCAAACTCCGTAAAAAGCAAGACATAAAATACCATTCCTTAATATTTTTTCATTTCATATACAATAAATTGTATTCTTGATCAAAGTGCAGCAATCTTTTTATTCTGAAAATTTTATTTTACATTGCCGAAATTCTCATTATATACAATTTGCTATTATAACATTCCGATTAATGGTCTTTATTATAATTTGTGCATTTATGATATAAATATTTTTTTTCTTCTTTAATTAGATAAAACAACAATAAACAAACAAAAAACTTTTTACAATGTAAAATCGATGTTGCTCTCAGACCCTTACTGATCAAAGAGGAACAACTCTGAAAATGTAGGATATGTTTGTTTTCCTCCCTTTATTCACGGTTTTCCGCATACACAGAATCAGATACATTTACAGCAAGACCTGATAAATCCCAGAATTGAATACAATAGACCTCACACAATGTAAGGAATTGTTTACTAGTACTGAAATTATCTGTATATCCTATTTCAGCAAATCGTTTGACTTTCTGTCACTGTCAACAATGTCGGTTCGCATTTCCTCGAATCAAAACAATAGTCAATACGTAGCCTATGAGATTTTTAAAAACATCAATGTGCCATTTGATATAAATTGAAATACATGAAGAGTTTAATGTTTGATATTTTGAAGTTAATCTGGACGAATACGGAATTTCCATTTTACCTTTAGAAGCAACGACATTGAAAGAATGCGTACAATATCGTGGGGGGGGGGGGGGGGTACATGTATGCAAATGTCGATGTATCCCCACGGCCACATACTGTCTCGTTTGAAATAATGACATGAAAAAAACTATAATTATTCCATTTATATCACAGGAGAGTTGAACACACATCTTTTTTTTGATAAATGAAATTAAAGAAATTAAATTAAAAATCAATATATTCAACATAACGTATCCAGGTTTCATGTTATATGGAATGCATAACGCATACATATATGGGCTAAACACTAAAATCCTTTTGTATTTTTTTTTCCTGATACATATAAAACCAGAAGTCAATATTTATATATATATATTCTGCATTCATGAATTTAAAAACTAATGCATACCTCCGGATTCAAATGACGAAATACTAGTATATTTGCACTGTAAACGACGTTTCGTCAAACGCGAATGGTCTGCAACGCAAAAAAGGAAGGGTTGGGGGTGGTAGGGGTATTCAAAAATTGCCTAAAAATCTACATTTAAATACGCTTTACATATGAGAACTTTTAAATATGTAAGTTAATATATTTTTGAAGCAAAAGCAATATTCCAATTTGATTTTTAAAAAATATGTATTTGTAGATTCATAGCAAAGTGATCGACCCCCGTCTGAAATGCGCGCGGGAACGTGATTTATTGAGAAAGGGGGAGGGGGTAATTTTCCGCTATTAAATCAAAACTGGTCGTACAAAAATTAAACAAAAAATTATGAACATTATTTTTACTACCAGCTACCTAAAGAAAGTTTTTTACCAAAATTAAATGACAGATTTTTTCACAAAAAAATTTTGAATTTGAAAAATACACAATTTTCAAGGCTTAGATAATTCATAGTTTTTCGGTTTAAGGTCTTTAAAAATTGTTTTGATAATATGTATTTCAAAAAGATGGCTATGTTTTTGTGTTAAATGGTTGAAGGAATAAGTCAATGAAATTTGACAGTCATATCTAACCTGGCTTTTTTGAAAATCAAGGTTTAAGTAGTTCATTGATTAAAAATTTTCTCTCCTTGTAAACGACTAAAGGGGGTAACTTTTGGAATTTCCTGTCCAAAAACCACTCGAACGATTTTGACCAAAATATGCATACATGCAGTAGATATAGTCATGTACTAAATATACAAAAATAACCAAAATTAAACGACAGGAATTTTTTGGGGTAGGTGTGTTGTACATCCTTAAGACTTGTCTTAGACCAAAAACTTAAGCTGATTGAAAAATTTTGCAATATTTATGATTCTGACCTGTAGAAAATTCATACCATAAAATAACATGTTTAATTCTTTTAAGTTTTAATAAAAGAATGAATTCGTTTTAAAAAATCAATGTAAAATAGCAAGTAATCAGCATAATTTCATTTTGGGGTCTTCATTGTAAGTTCCTTTGTAAAAACAAGCCCCTAGTTTACTTGCAATGTTTGTGAATCTTCAGGTCAAAAAAGGGTTTAACATATGAGTGCAGTGTTTTAAACCAGGGATTTACATACTGAACTTTATATACCATAGGCATGTTAAATAATTTAAAAAAATAAGTTTTTCAATGAATTGGTCAATGAAACTAACAAGAAATTTTTTACAAGAAAATACAGTGGTTTCTACATATATAGACCAGGCGACTTCATTCCAAATAAAATCATCGAGATAATAAAACTCAGGCTAATTACTGAGTTTACTTATATAAGAGTTTACCACATAAAGATCACTATGTCCAAGATAAAATACATCCATCTTTATAGTGAAACATCACTCTATAAAATGAGAACTGGATGATAATCTTAATCATTAAAATGTTTAATCCAATGATCAACACAGGACAAACCTGTTTCAGCTGAGGGAGTGGTGTCTGTGTCATTAAGGAATTCGTCCAGACCTTCAGTGTCTGAGTCTACAACAATGTCTCCCAAATCTGCCTTCTTCCCACTGTCAGAACTGGATACTGATAAACCTTAAATATACAAATCAACATTGATGAGGAATTTCCATTGATAAGCCTAAATTTGTCCATTTTCTTAGGGACATATTATACAAACTTTTGTCAAAAATCTTTAAAATAACAACTTAATTCATGTTCAGTGGAGTAAAATATGCAAGCAACTGCATGGAGTCTCAATTTTTCATTCAAAGTTTCACAATAATGGAATTTAAAGTCACGAAAAGTTGTCTAGATTAATAAGAATGGTAAGTTGCAGAATGGTAGAATTTGAACTTTATAGAAGTTTCCAATATTTTGAAAGTGTATTATTTGCATCATTTACAACCAAAATAAGCCTGAAAATATAAACCAATCATGGCATCCATTTTTTTTTCTTTTTTGCATCATACCGTAAATCTGGAAATTTTTACTGTAGATAAATTTTTAGCAAATTTGCGCGTGCATTGAATTCGCAAAAATATTTTTCTTAAAAATAAATCAACATGCGAAGAATTTTTTTCTGAGAACTCGTGTCTTTTTTTAACTCAGTGAATAGGTGTCGGTAAGCACTGGTCATTTTTAAAAGAAACCTGTTTACACTAGTCTACTATAACTACAAGTTAATTACCCGTGCGTAAATTGCCCTCATTATATGCAATATCGTCCGATGATTTGACAAGCACTGAGGCGGTATGCCCCTTTTTAATTATTTTAATCAATTAATTTGCCAATAAAGAGAGAACTGCCATTTTATCTAACCGTGTATCAACACGGGCGATAACTCAAACTCAGTGCATTTACTAGAAAGTTCTAAATGTAAACGCGGCGTGTAAATTTTAGGTGAGAAAAACCAAACGTTGAGAAAATTAGTTATATTTTTTCTTCATTTGGATTATACTTTAGGTTAAAAGGCATACACAACCTCTAAAATGTTTGTTATAATTGACTTAGAAATTATTTTCAGTGCAAATCCTTTTGTATTTTCATCAAAATTGTTTCGGAGCGATTTTGCAATATCTTGCCACGTTGTGAGTATATTGGTGGTATTCTAACTGGGCATATTACTTGAAACATAACCTGATATGAAAATCTTCAGTGATTTTTATTTTTAGCACCAGTGACAATTCGCAAAAATTTGAAGCGTAAAAATTAATCAACAGCTTTTTGACCCAAATTCGCAAAAATAAATCGACGCAAAAATTTCCAGATTTACGGTATGTTCTTATAGGGACAGACGATACAAACAAAAATATGGATGCCTGGATATTTTTTTACCTATTTGGTTGTAATTAATGTGACTTCCCAGAAATGAAATTTTAAAATTTGTAAATTTTCAATAATGTTCAAAATTCAACCTTTCTGAATTCATCCTTATTAACCTATGCAATTTTTTGTCACTTGAAATCATATCATTGAGAAAATTATGAAAATTAAAATTCAAATCTGTGCTGTTGAATTAATTCTTTTTACTCCTATAAATATAACTTGGTTTGTTATTTTCAGGATTTATGATAATCGTTTGTGCCTCACAACTTGCAACTTTTAACTTCACATGTGCATGATTGTGACTCACGCTCTAGTCTGCCGTGGGTTCTGTAATAGTCTACGTCCTGGTCAAATGCATCCTGAAATGCTTCTTGTCGTTCTTTCAGTTTGATCTGTTTGTGTTTCTCTACTTTTTGCATCTTTTTCACATGCTCTTTTGCAAGTTGAACTGAAATTGATTAATTAGTATGCAGAAAATATTCACTGTGATAAAAATTGGATTGTATTGTCTAGGTTAAGTATTAAGTACATGCATGTATCCATTTTGAATTCGAAGTCAATATAAAAAAAAGTCTCACACCAGTTATACTTCACTTACAGTAAATGTGATTTCCGGTTTGAGAGGAAAGTGCAATAAATGTATAAATATGACATTTTATTTAAATGCAACAAACATAAGTAACACAAATAGCGACAACAATTAATGTTCGATGCTTAATAATCATGATTACTGTAAACCAACTTTTATTTGTGTGCGAGAAATTTTCGCGAGGTTCCTAAGGGCCTCGTCATCGCGAAAATTTCTTGCTGCGAACTGGTCCTTAAAATCTCTGTGTCTATTAACAACAGATTCAAAAAAGCTTGATCGCAAAAATTAATCATCGCGAACCATTTTACCCCTTGGAAATCGCGAAAATAAAGTCCTCACAAATAAAACTTGTATTTTACTTTCATACACAGTATACCTTTTAGTTTTTCTAATTCATCCATCTTTCTGTTGCGATACGCTGCTAACTTCTGGGAGTCCAGTAGTTTAGCGTTCTGTAGCTCCTGCTCCTCACAGATGTTTTCTAGCTGTATCAGAGCTGCCTCAACTTTGTCATACTCCTCATCAAGGATCGCTACAACACAATTCAGAACTTTAAATTCATATTAAATATTTAGAACATTGGTACATGTATAAAGTTGTTTAAAAGCTTGTTTTACGAGGGTCATTCAAAAAGTTCGTAGACTTTTGTCCAAACTTTTTTATTTAACGTCATATTATATCCAAATTTGGTACAAATATTTCAACAACAGATTCAAATAATTTGAGTAAAAAAATTGGAATGTATCTTCATATTTATTAAAATTACCAAGGATTTAGAACAGCAAAAAAGGGGTCACAGAGCACCGTCAAAATTGAGTAATTTACTAATATTCAATTTAAAGTATTTATAGCAATACCTCTAATAAATGGAGCTGAAACGAAATAAAATTTACATGTTTGAATAAAGTATTGCTGTATTAATTAAAATAAAATCAGGTTATGTAATATGTCGCTCCATTTTAAAGATATCAGTATCTAAATACATATGGACTTGATTAAAAAAAGCCAAAAACCATAACGTTAGAGGACGTCACGGAGCAGCAAGTATCAATAAAATTGTACTGTACATTCGGGAAACTTCTTCTACAAGTTTAAAAAAAATCCGTATAAACCAGGCTCTGTATGAAAAATAATCTGTGTATTTGTATTAAATGGAAAATACAATTTTTGAGTGGTGGCGAGTTTGAATCTGCATGACGATGGATTGTCTGCAAAGAAACAGGTTAAAGTTAAAAATATTGTCGAAAGAGTTAGGAACGTCACTGAACGTAATGTGTGCTTCACTGTTGCAGAATTAATAGAGTTACATGGTAAATTAAAGAATTTGAAAACAATGACATTCTTATTCAAGCTATATTTGTATAATTGTTCGCAAACTAGGTGTAAAGTGTTATGGATAT